TAAGTGTACAGTCCAGAGACATAAAGTACAGTCACATTGTTGTGCAATCATCATGGCAGCTCTTTTCATCTTGCAAAACTGAAGCTCTGTACCCATTAGGCAATAACTCTGCATTCCCTCTCCCCTGACCCTGGGATTATCCTCGACCCCAGTGAACCAGGACTCTGGCATCTGTCACCGTCTCTAAATAATATATAACAGATCCCTATCAGTTAAATCTGGCAAAATTCAGTTTTAGCAAATAAAAATAATTTATTTTAGGATCTTATAGGCTATATATTTTGTCTTTCAAGTATTGTTCTTAATCTGTTAGTAAAAATGTGCTGGGGAGGAAAAAGTCAAAGCAGCTGACCTGCTCTCCAGGAGAAGAAATGACAATGAAAGAAAAGAAAGCAAGTGATACAGTTTAAACTCCTTTTAAATATAACTGAGTTCTTAGGTCAGGGTTCAGCAAACTACTGCTTATCTGCCTGCCACCTGTTTTTGTAGCCTGTAAACTAATAATGTTTTCTATAGTTGTAAATAGTTGAAAAAATCGATATAAGAATCCATATCACAGTGCGTGAAAATTACATAAAATTCAAGTTTCCGTGTCCATAAATAATGATTTATTGGAACACATCCACACATATGTGTTTATATATTGCCTATGGCTGTTTCATGCTGCAAGGGCAGATTTGAGTAGTTGTGACAAAGAGCCTATGGGACAGTCTCATCACTATGCACTGCTACTCAGTGTACCACAAATCATAATGATGCAGTTAAAATAACTTAACAGTGTTTTAGTGTCTTACATATTGTCATAACACGGCATTTTATTTTATGTTTTTATTACCAGTGCATGGCATTCATGTCAAAACAAGATAAAAAAGAAAATTGGATTTAGGACTTTGAAGCTGAATGAAGTATAGATTATCCTGTTACCAAATTAGATGGCAAAGCATTGTGTTTATTATACAATGACACTATAATTGTGCTAAAAATAAAAAAAAAAATGTATGTCAACATTACCAAACTAAGCACTCATTATAATATTTCCAACTTATAGGACAGCAACTGTCAGAAAAATTAGAAAATTTAAAATGAAATATCCCATCATAGCAAAATTTCTTCACAAAAATAAAAAATGAAAATGAGTCTGCAACCCAATTTTCTGAGTGGTTCGTTTGTTAGCCAAGCAAAGAACACTATCTACGAATAGTGAGTTAATTAAATCATGCATGATTGCAGGAGCTAAAGACATGCTCCCCCCGCCCCCCCCCCCAAAAATTAAGACTATTGGCCTTTCAGCAAAAATAATTGCTCAAAGAATTGAGGACATTGGAAAAAGTATAATAATAAATTTAAAAACCAAAGCAAATGACTGAGTTTTTTAGTTGTTCCAGCACTCTTTGTTATTAAGACTCTTCTTTCCTCCTTTAATTGTCTTAGCATCCTGGTCAAAAATCAACTGACCGTAGATATAAGGGCTTATTTCTGGACTCTCCTTTCTATTCCAATGATTTGTATGTCTATCCTTATGCCAGTCTCAGACTATCTTGATTACTATAGCTTTGTAAGAAGGTTTGAAATTGAGAAGTGTGAGTCCTCCAAGTTTCTTCTTTTTTAAGATTGTTTTGTCCAGGAGCATTTGAGATCTTGCTCCCCGGCATATGTTGCATATGTGGTCAGTTTGGTGCAAATAAACTCTTATTTTAAAAAAATAAATAATTTTAAAAAAAGATTGTTTTGGCCATTCTAAATCTCTTGCATTTCCATATCGATTTTAAGAAATGGCAATTTCTGAAAAGGTAATGTATTGTTGAGTCAGCAGTATCAGCTGTAAATTTCATTTTTGTGGAATTGACCATTATCAGTTCCATGATTTTTTTCGGAAATAGAAGTTAAATATTCTAACTCACCTTTCTACACAGCATTTCTATAGCTTAGCAGTGGTGAAATTTTACTGCAAAAGTTTCATCTCAGGGTCAAAACTGAAGTTTTTGTGAATGAAAACTGCCCTCGACTACTCTTGTAGAATGTTGAATAGCTTTGGAAATTAGCTTTTGCTGCAGACTCGATAATGTATCTTAATGAATTCATTAACAAATTACAAGACAAAACAAATACTGACATGCAAAACTTACACTGAGATAAAGATTTTAATACCAATTAATATGTGACTCATAAGTAATGTTAAGCTGCTTTATATACTACTCCTGTCAGAAGTTGAAACAAGAAAGAAGTTTATTCCCACTCAGATTTGCACTGGGTATATTTTTCAAGTTCAAATTACAGTTCCAGCATTGTCTATTAGACTTCAAAGGAAATTTCCATATTTCAAAATACAAGCATACCTCATTTTATTGCACTTCGCAGATATTGTGTTTTTCACAAATTGAAAGTTTGCGACAACCCTGCATCAAGTTCTACTGTTGGTAAAATGTTATCAAACAGCATCACATGCAACAGAGAAATTGCTTGTAAAAGGAAGAGTCAATCAATGTGGCAAAATTCCTTGGTGTCTTATTTTAAGAAATTGCCACAGCCACCCCAGCCTTCAGCAACCAACCACCCTGATCAGTCAGCAGCCATCAACATCGAGGCAAAACCCTCCACAAATGAAAAGATTACAATTCACTGAAGGCTCAGATGATGGTTAGCATTTTTCAGCAATAAAGTATTTTTTAATCAAGGCGTGTACATTGTTTTTTATACATAATGCTATCTTTCACTTAAAGACTACAATGTAGTGTAGTCTATTACAGTATGGTATAGGGAAACCCCAAAATTTGTGTGACTAACTTTATTGTTATATTCACTATGTTGAGGTGGTTTGGAACTGAGCCCATAATATCATTGAGGTATGCTTGTGCATTTAACTGTGCAATTTAAGAACTTCCACCTAACCTTTAATTGGAAGTTCTGTAATATAATGGTACACTAAATAGAAAATATCAAAAGAATGTAATAGAATTCTATAAAAGTCTACTGAGATTAATGTGATCAATTAAAATTATAAGCTCATACTGGGAGGTACAGACTTCCCTGGTGATGGTTGTACAATATGGTGGGTATACTAAAAACAACAATAACAACAACAACAAAAACACTGAACATACACTTAAAATAGCTAAAATGGTGACTTTATATTATGTGAATTTTATCTCCATAAGATTATAAGCTCATGGATTAATATCAGTATACGATAGTACCTATCAGTGTGAAAGACATTTTCAAAGAAGAAATATGTAAAGTCTCATTACAGCTCAGCATTAACATATGAGCATTTGCTATTAATGATAGGAAATACTTTGAACCCCAAATAAACAAAATGTTATTTTTAAAATTACATTCCCATTACTATACTTGTCTTACAAAAACATACTCAATTATTAGTAGTATATTTTCAGCTTTATGAATATAAATTTTGTGAACATTTATTTTCTTTCTTGCTATAGAAGTACCTACATCATATCCTTGATTTTGCCTCTTGGCCTGCAAAACCTAAAATATTTACAATCTGACCTTTAACAGAAAATGTGTGTTGACCTTGCTCTGAGTAAATAGACTAATGATATTTACTAAAAGTGAAGTTTTTATCTATAGAATGCTCTTAACGGCTATATCCCCGATTTTGGATTGCTTATGGAAAACCTATCTTAAATCTATGGATTTATAAGTTCCTAGAGGAGATCATGTAAGCTATACAACTCTGAGATATAAAATAGAGATGTGTCACAACTTAAACTCTCCCCACTGTGTGAGGTGACTCTCAAACCTCATAGAGAGGCCTCATCTATTATTCTAGATCGCAGCGTACCTATGTGCTGTGAGAAGGAAGGATCTATAAAGCCAGTAGGATATCCTAGACCTCTCCCTACTCTGCCTGTGCCTCTTCATGACCTGTATCTTTGAAATTATTAATAAAGTTCGATACTAGATAAAATCTATGGTATTTGTGAGTCAGAAATGACAATCCAGTCCAATATATTAGCTCAGGTACTATCCATGTATTTGAAAACCTAAAGTAAGTTTTCAAAGAGATGAAAACAAACAATTCTGGCAAAATCATTTCATATTATTTTATGCTTGGAGTACAGAATAATGAATTTTTCTTAAAATAAGTAAAAGAAGCATATTTCCCAAAAGAAATACTTGGTGTAATTTGCTTAGGAGCATATGTGACCTTCTGCTCAACAGTCCACATATTTCTTGAGGTCCATTAAGCTCATTTCCTTCTATATTTAACATTTTATTATTTATAATTAAATATTTTTTCATGAAAACAATCCAATATATGCAAGTAATAAGGATGCTAAGACCAAATGTGCTGCATCATCTGTACTTTATCTGTAGCAAAAGTTAAATTTGATCATTTCAACCCTATTCGACCTAAGAGCTATCATCTGCATTACCAGGTTTTGAAAAATGATTATCCCTTAAAATTTTTATGAAATGTATTTTTGTCTTTGAGATATTTTCCCCCATTCTTTATAGTACAATGCTTAAGTTTATATGAAGGAAAATGTCCATCTCAAAACCTGAGAATTTTCGTTTAAAAAAAAACTTCTGAGTAATTCTTATTAATCTCCCTTGGAATATTTTGGTCTTGATGAGATCTGCTATTATTAATGTCTTTTTCTAAAGATATATATAAATAACTTCAGTCCTCTGAAATACAGTTTGCATAAATTTATAATATTTCTAGTTTGGTTTTAGACTCCATAACTGATTGACAAGAAAAAAAATTGTAAATGTAGAAAAGTTTTACCAGATTTGAATTTTTAATTGACAACTCACTGCATATCATATCATGGAAACATGACATCATGATGATGATGGTGATGATGAAATTGAAAGACTTTTGAATCAAATGAAAATGTGTACTAAATTGGCTGGTGGGAGAAAGAATGATAAGAAGCAATTAGTAAAAGTAGTATATTTGAGTGGCTAGTGCAATTAAGAAACATATAGTTGTAAATATATTACGTATCCTTTTGTTTGTTTTGTTTTTTAAGGAGAAACATTAACTTCTGGGCTACATCCAGAATAGCATCATCTACATGGGCATTCCCTCCTACAATTTCAGAAAACCTTTGGTAATTAATTGATAAAATGCAGACGATCTTGCAAACAGATGAAGTTACCAATACCGAAGCTCTTAGAAAAGGAAAGAGGAAAAGGACGGAGACAATGGACTCAGAGAATGCAAATAATGATATGGATAAAGGACAGGTTGGTGTTCTGTTACCCTGATAATTTAATAATGCCTCCATAATTTATTAGTATTTTCCCCTGTTCTATTTATTCTTCCCTTTAATTCTTTACTCAACCAAGGGAATAAAATTGCATGTTCTCTTTTTAAAGCTGAACAAGTTGAATTAGAACATACTCAAATGACATTTTACCTGCTTCTATTTAAGAATGGCCAGTTATGTCATTGTTCAAACTTTCTTTGAGATTCTGGGAAGATCAGCAACTGTCAGAAAATTTTCTTCTCAAAAAACACTAGAGAAATTGAAATACCTCTTCTTTAACATTTAACATTTACTGTTCCCTTTTTTTTTTTAATTCCATTTTGCAACCCATCTTCATCGCTGATTTGGTCAGGGTTTCTTTCCTACTTTTATTTATTTATTGATTCCTTTTTGATATGAATTTCCCACTCCCATTCTCCTATGCTTTGGACAACCTATCAATGTGTTTATTCTATATCTTTTTATTTCTGTGTCTTTGTAATACATGTATCTGTGTATGTCTCTGTGATACATGTAATGTTTTACATGTATGTTTGCTTTTTTAATTTTTAAAATATATACTATACATTCTGATGATTTAAAGTAGTTTTAGTCCTCGGGGATGGTGTCTAGAGGAATTCAGAATGGTCCAGCATTTGACATACCGTTGTAGGCTATCCTATAATACAACCTCTAACGAAACTAGGCTGTCCTGAACATAGAGTTATTTACCTTTACACCGAGAAGGTTGAGAAGCACCAACATCCACATGTGAAATGTGCCCAGGCCAACTATATGGAATTAATACTGTGAAACCTAAAGTTCTCATAAGGTTGTCTAAAATTTAAAAGTATGTCAGCAGTGCCAATGGTGCTTCTATACGTGCAAAATGTGTCCATGAAAGGATCAAGTGTGCTTTTTTTATTGAGAAGCAGAAAATCATTGTGAAAATGTTGAAGGCAAAAGCACAGAATCAGAAAGTTAAAAAATGAAGCTTTTTGAGTAATAAAAAGGATACATTTATTAAATATGTGTCTGTGTGTATATACATATATAGTGAAGATAAACAGTGGAAAGTCTCCCTTACATCCTTGTCACCCATCCACCCTGTTCCCACCTCCTATCCCTCTACTACAGGTAACCACATTTATTGTTTTCTCGTTATCCTTCTGGTGTTTCTCTGTTTGAATAAAGCAATTATGAATATAGATATTTTTACCCCCTCTTTTGTACAAAAAGTAACTTACCAGACATGCTGCTATGTGCTTTGCTTTTTTACTTAAAATATTTTGAAGATCTTTCCTCTAGTATATAAAGAACTTTTTCTTTTTTACTGCTCCGTATGATTTCACTGTGTGTATGCACCATTCCTTATCTGACCAGTCCCCTATGACGGATATGGCTTGTTTCTAATCTTCTTTCTACAAGTCATGCTGCACTGTACAACCTTATGGACACATCATTTAGGATTACATTGGTATCATCAGATACACCTCATCTGTTTCTCATTTTTCAATCAACACTGTTTTTAACATCTATCTGTATTGCTACTAAAAATCTGACCTACTGTGTCTAACTGCTATATAGCATCCTATTTTATTTGTTCTTTCCTACAATAATAAACACTTAGATTGCCTCCAGCATCTTACTTCTATCAACAATGACAAAATAAATATACTCATACATGTTCTTTTAAGAAACAGGTTGATAATTTCTCTGGAATAAACACATCGGAGGGTGATTTATGGCTTACAAGTTATATGTTTATTTCATTTGACTAGATACTATAAAATTGCTTTTCAAAATGTCAGTATCAGTCTATAATGCCCAGCAGCACTGCCTGAGGGGTTCCTATACTTGTATTTCTTTACCAATACTTAGCATTTATAACCATATTTCATATTTCTGGCAATAGATGAGAAAAAATATCTTGTTTCAATTTGCAAGTACAGGTTTGGGGAGCCCATGCTTCCTTGAGGGGTAAAACAGTCACATGCTCTTGCAGACTAGTACTGTGATTCATTTTTCTCATGAAGGTAATAATTTTCCAAACTATTTCTTTGGTTCCATTGCAGTAACTATAGCCAGAGATCTTATCTGGTCAAAAACAAGCTTCAGACTTTTCTCTTTTTTTATGGCATCTGTGCTCAACCTCTTTTCATTCCAACTTACGGCAATTACCTAAAGGCCAAACAAAAAGCTTGAAGGAAGCACTCTCAATCTGATGCTTCCCATTGGGGTGGATTTCAATGTCTATCAGAGAACACTTGAAGAGACGCTCTTGAAAAAGCCTTGAGGTCACAGTGTTACTTCCAGCTATTTAGATGTAGAAGGAATTAACAGGATGCATTCTAAGTGTAAATGAAAAGAGGAAATCTTCTGTCTCTACAAACCTACCAGCATCACAAGAACTCACTGAAACACACCAACATTCTTTCTTTTTCCTGACTCAGTAAGCATATGGTCTGCCTTCCAAGGTATTCCAGGTGACAGTTTTACCAAATATGTCACTGAGGTCTTAATAAGAGTTAACAGCTTTCCAGCATGCTATACCTGTGCTCTTTTTGCCCACAACCTGACCTCTAAGTAATTCTAATATATGTCAGATTTGGGACATCCTGCTTCTAGGTATGAAAATCTGGATCAGTTATCCTGTATGTTGCAAAGGCTATAACAAAGACCCAAATGTTACAGTGGCACAAAGGAGAAGGAAGTTTATTTCCCTTTCACATAACAGCAAGAGCAATCCAGGGTTGTTATGGCAGCTCCAAAATGTTAAGGACCCCTCTAATCTTGTTGCTCTACCTTCTTCAACACACGGCCTCTATCTCTGGGTCTAAGGTGACTACTCCAGCTCTCATCACTATGCCTTCCTCTCTACCAAGAGAAAAAAGAGAGTACAGACAGGGGAAGGCATGCTCATTCCTTTTAAGGTCATGAAGCAGTGGCATACACATTACTTCTAGTCATATTTTATTGTAGAAACTTAGACACATAGCTGCAGCAAGCTGCCTGGGTGTCTGAGAAGTGTAATCTTTAGCCGACAGCTATCTGTTCAGCTAAAAATCTAGTACTATAGAAGAATGGGAGAACAAATACCTGGAGATAGCAGTCTCTGCCATGGTCCATTTTTCTATTTGGTTCTTATCTTTTCTGTTAGGTTTTTTAGTGTATTCTAGTGGGTTTCCTATTCTATTCTTATTGATTTGCTCAAATACCTTACCTATTGTAGAAATTAGTCTTTCATGGCTTTAGATTTTACAATGTCTTCTTCCAATCTGTTATCTGTCTATTAACTTTATGGTTTCTACTGAAGCCTACCAATGGATTAGCTTTTGCTTGATTTCATTTCTTTCTTATAGGAACTTGCTAAAAATGGTAAGAACTAGACTATACATTCTAATTTTTTTAAATTACAACAAAGCCTCGAACAATGTCATTTTGTTCAGCATCGTTTCATTATAACATTGATGAGATGCCATAAGAACTTAACTCATTTCTATCCATTAGCCTATGGTAAAATTCGTTTCATTATGTATGTTGTTCCACTTAAAGTTGCAGAATCCATTGACAAAGTTAAGCGAGGATATACTGTACTCTACATTGAACTGTGGTCTCAACAGGCATCCTTCAGTTTTTTTTAAATCCTTCATTTCTATTTCATCAAATCCATTATTCTTTTTCTTTAGGATTTGTATATCTAGTGTCAGTACATTAGCTACTGGCCCATATATAATAGTAAATTTTATTACCATTATACACATATTTCACCTACACAAATATATGTAATAATGAATATATACATAGATACATATATTTATGTACTTATAAAATAAGGAGTGAGGTTAAATGTATATAATACAAGTCATACAAAAATGCAATTGTATTTCCTATAACTGATCTCATCTGACTTTCAATTCTCTATTCCTGCTTGATAAGAAGAAAAAAAAGCTTAAACTTGTCCATTCACAATGGATAACAGAATGTTCTAGGTTTTAGAAATCGTTTTGAGCTATTAGTATAACTTTAGTCACTTCAAGACTTAAGCCTCAACAGAGCCTAGATTCTTATCTTCCTCCACGTTTTACTGTTTTTCTTGGGAAGTGATCCAAGTCTTTAGGAGTCTTTCATCTCATCCTAGCATCTGGGCAGGGATAGCTAGTCTTCCTCCAAGGTTCTAACTCTCTGCCTGGCTCCTAAGTGTCTAGGAGTATTACTGTTGAGGTATGGCCAGGCCCTTTGAGAGTTCTCTTGGCACCAGCTGCTGAAGTTTGCCATCCTGGCACCCACTGTCATCGTCTATGAGGTTCTGGAACCCTGTGGCCTCTCTGTCAAGATACTAAACTATTTCTGTTTTACCAGTTCCCCTAGCACTTATGTATTTCCTGACCAGGACACAGGGACCATTTGAAACCTCTAGCTGCTATGCATGAGCTCTGGGAAGACTGGATGTTGTCTCCGGTCCACTTGTCCAGACACCACTGTTGGTCGTTTCTAATCTATGGCCCAGAGAGTCTCCATGTTGCCCTAATGTTGTGCTGGACATGGACCTTTTTAGGGACTTTTTAACGGACTGAGAAGCAAGGAGCCAGTCCCACTGCTCTGGTATTGCCCCTTATTTATCTGGATGTTTCTATCATACACTCTTACCTCTATGATCCTTCTCCATTTCCCCCAAGGAGAGAGGGCAGGAAGATCAAAAACACTTGAATCTGGCTTCCTGCAATTCCAGTTCTTGATCCCTCAAGCTTCTCCTCCTGGCATCAGGCCATCTTTTCCCTTCCTGTGCAGCAGAAACTTCCTTTATGTCTTATCTCTTCTACTCTAAAACTTATGTTCAAAACTTTATATTCTAAGGTTTTTGGGTTTGGATGTTTATAAATTCCACTCTGTGCTCCTGCTTTCCATGGATGAAGATTTTAT